TTACCCCTAGCAATGGCAACCACAAAGCAGACCCCTACCCAAAGCACTTTCTCTCCCCAACAGACAAGTCAACCCACAAGGTTGGATCCATCCTCTTAATTATGCAGATAAAGGATTGAAATTATGTACCTCTGATTGGCTTATTAAACTTGGAGCTGGAAGAGCTTGTTTGATCCATACTGGCATCCATCACCACACCAACCACAGGTGCTGGACCATCAGATAAGTCTTGAAAAGCCCCTAGACCTCAGAGACCCAGGAGCATCCCCCTTGTGGGGTCCCTCCCCTTTGGGAGTTCTGCTTTTATTACTCTACTAACTCTTGTCACTTTACTCTCATCCTTGTGTCCATGGGTTTCATGCCTCAAATTCCCAAGACGAGGAACCCAACTATCCATATTCCATGTTACAATAACAGGAACAAATTCTCATGTGTCCTTATTTCTAGGAGGGCTCAAAGGCAGCAGGTGCAAAGATTCTGGTAGGGGATGGCTTCCAGTTTCCACATCCTGTTTGTTCATTCCAGAGCCCCACCCTTGCTACCACTGCTCTCATGGTCTTAGCTATTCCCAGAAATAGCACTCAATTGGTGGGATGAAGACGTAAACTCAGTTTCTTCCCAAGATGTGATTGGGGCTGGCCAGATTTCCATTTCCTGCCAGTCAGAGCCCTGGCTTTGGGGGGTCCTGCTACGATTTTCCCAGACTAAATAACTTGGAGTTGACTTCTGATCCTCAAGAAAAATACTTCCAAACATCTCCATTTTCCCCAACATCCCTTTGTTTGGAAGGTTCATTATACAATTAACAGGCAGGCTTTTTGCCAATGATTATCTGAAAACAATTGAGTTGATTATGTGCCTAGATGAAGTAAAAGTCATTGGGAAACTAGCTCACAAACTTGAAATGGAGCCCAGACTTGGGCCCAATATATGGTGCCTGAGTCTTTCCTCAGGCTTTCATACTTTTGGGTTATTGAATAAGTCATTGTTGTACTCTGTGCTCAGCTTCAACTATAAAAAGGACAGTAGTAACTCCTCCTACGCAGATTTACTGTAGCTATAAAGAGGTGATATATGGCCTTTGTAAAAGGCCAGACAAATGCCACGAAGGAATGTGAATGGGGGTTGGTCCTCTCACTTAGCGTTTTCATGAATGACTCAGATGGGGAAAGAGAGAAATAAATTTTCTCATTTGCACAAGATATTAAAATACTGTAGGTAACAGAAGACTCAAGTTACAATGAACTTACATTTAGAGCCATTTAAAAAATCTGCCTTGAAGCTGAATAGAGGCCATGGTCTCCTTCTGCTCTGTCATTCTATGTGGTGGCACTATCTATGGATACAGAAGGCTGTATGGTCCTACTGTGGCCTTGAGTATCAAACGTT